AGAGGGCACTTAATCTAGGGCAGTCAGTATTTCAGTTGATTGGTGATAACCTATGTGGTTTGGCTTGAAGACATTATAGGTGCAACCTCTGGATCATGCTCCTGTCACTGTCTAGGTTCCCATGAAACAGACTCTGAGATGGAGATCAGCATGCAGATGTTGAGGTCAACATCTGGGGAAGGGGGGGAGGGGAAGAAGGAGAAGTTGGCAAAGGGAGAAGTTGAATGGTGATGCAATCTCAGTGCAGCCTCAGCAGATAATGCAGGGAGTTCTGAAGCTGGGATGACTCTTCAGAGGTGTCTTGATTTGGGATAAGAGGACTGGGCTTTTATTGTCTCTATCAGTCAGTTCCAGCTGCCCTGGAAGGGGACATGACCCTGGGTAAGGCAGCTCTCCTCAGCTGAGGCAACCTCTGCAGGGGGCTGGCAGCTGGGGGCTGTCTGCTAGCAGCAGTCCTAGGCGTAGGGGAGAAATTCCTTCGTTTCTAAGGGGGATCTGAGTGGCAGATCACAGTGCCTGCTATGAATCTTTTCATCTTTTGGCTACAGTTCAAATCTCTGTTTTGGGATTTAAAGTAGATAAAGATTTAAAGAAGTGTGCATTGTCACTGTCCATGGAAGGGAGTGAAAGCCAGTGTGAAGAAGGAGCCATCGAGGCCATCACGATGCGCATAGAAGTTAATGTCATGAAACAGAAGCTGTGAGCACACAAGGAAGCTGCTTGAAGCAGGCCAGAGGGTACAGAGGAGTGTCACTAGGCACCCTAATGTCATTAGTTGGTGTTAAGTTATATGAACTCTTGTGGCTGAGCCCTTGGGGATACCTCAAGTTCTGGTGTGGTTCTTGTTTTTCTGTGGATAAAATATTCCTTATGTTCAAGCATTTACAAAGGGAAAAAATATGAAAAAAAGTAATAAAAAATATTCCTTATGGCTCCACATATATTTTTCCTTTAGCTAGTAGCCCAAATATCTAATATTCTGTTGTGACCCAAGTGTACAGAATCCTATGTAGCTTGGTCCACGTAAATGCATGGAACTCAGATAGGACCAAGATGCATAAACCATCCTGTTTTTTGGGCCATTTATCTGTATCTCCAATGCTGTAATAACAGGACCCCAGTCAAGGCAGGATGATAAAAGGTATAGGTCTATGTCCAGTGGCCTTTTTTTTTTTTTTTTGAGACAGAGTCTCACTTTGTTGCCCAGGCTAGAGTGAGTGCCATGGCGTCAGCTTAGCTGACAGCAACCTCAAACTCCTGGCTCAAGCAATCCTCCTGCCTCAGCCTCCCAAGTAGCTGGGACTACAGGCATGCGCCACCATGCCCGGCTAATTTTTTGTATATATATTAGTTGGCCAATTAATTTCTTTCTATTTATAGTAGAGACGGGGTCTCGCTCTTGCTCAGGCTGGTTTTGAACTCCTGACCTCGAGCAATCCGCCCGCCTCGGCCTCCCAGAGAGCTAGGATTACAGGCGTGAGCCACCGCGCCCGGCCTGTCCAGTGGCCTTTAATCACATTGATACAACTCCACTTTGATGTTCTTGCCCATGGCATTCATTCCTAAATCGTGCATATGTTAATAAATACCCTGGAGAGTATTTAGTTAACTCAGTGAGATGGAGCTTTATTTAGTGTTGAATGTCGCAATAATATAATAATAAATATAAACATTTATTGTGCATCTATTATAAGACAGAGACTAAGCAAAGGCCTTTACAGATATTATTTCAATTAACTCATGAACAAATGAGGAAGCTGATGCTTAGGGGATTTAAGCATCTCATTAAAAGTTACACAGCTAGTAAGTGGTCGAACCAGCACTTAAACCAGGCAGCTTGACTCTAGACTATGTGCTTAACTATAGACTGTGCTGCGTCATAGATCTGGAGGATTGTGATCCTTCTTCCAGCAGTGTTGGGCTTTTGATGGAGTCGTGGATGGTGGTCTGGTGAGCTCTGTTCCCCTCACCCAGAGGCTGCTGTGTCTGAAATTCAACTCTTTGAAATTCCCTCTTCAGGTTCCTCTGTCAGTTCTCCTCTTTTAAGGGGCAGAAATGTTATAAGACATCAGACACTTGAACTAATTCTCACCAAGAGGTTGTTATATTGTTAAAACGGTTTAATCCCATAAAACCAACCTCAGATATTGGATGTCTGGAAATCTAGGGCACACTGATGACAGGAGACAAAGCTTGAGGCCACCAAAGGCAAAGGTACCTCGGAGGCGTTTTTCCTGCCATTGACCCTGTTTAAAGAAGAGCTTGTGTATATAGTAGTGTATCCTTTTGAGTACACAGAAGATAAAGCTCAGAGCCATGCAGCAAATGCCAGGTGAATTTTAAAAGTTGGATCCATTCCAAATAAGGTTTATTTGACTTATTTTGTAAATCAACATATTAAAACCGATAAAATATGCTCAAGTACAATTCTGGGGAGAATGGTGGTGTTTCTGAGAGCTATGTTCCGACTCCTCCCTGTCAGTGTTCTTTTGTTGCTTTAAGCAAGACTCTTCAGGTGGTGGCAGCAGTGTAGTTTCTTTGTTACCTTAAATGCTAAGGCCTGTGCTAGGTGGTTGCCTAGCAACCCTGTGTTCTTTTGTAAGAAGGTATTTTTGTATTGTACAATGCAAAATGTTGTATTTGTATTTATTGACGATTTAAAATGAGATTTTATTTTTTTTTTTTGAGACAGAGTCTTGTTCTATCGCTCCTGCTAGAGTGCAGTGGCATCATCATAGCTCACTGTAACCTCAAACTCCTGGGCTCAAGCCATCCTCTTGCCACAGCCTCTTGAGTGGCTGAGACTACAGGCATGCACCACCACACCCAGCTAATTTTTCTGTTTTCAGTAGAGATGCAGGTCTTACTCTTGCTCAGGCTGATCTTGAACTCCTGAGATCAGAGGATCCTCCTGCCTTGGCTTCTTCCCAGAGTGCTAGGATGACAGGGATGAACCACTGCACCTGGCCCTAAAATGAGATTCTTATATCTGTGTTAGAATACAACAAATTCCATTTGTGTCCATCAAACCTCTTAATAGTAATTATGAGATAGTGAATCCTTATTTGGTGAAACTATTAATATAAGCAGTAATGGCCCCACAATCATAAAGGTACTTTAAAATCCTGCTGGAAAACATGAAGGACTCAAAGAATGTGCTACTTCTAATGAAATTGCATGTTTCTTATGAAATGTTGTTTTTTAAATACATATATTGTTAGCACTCTCATGGGCTAAACATACTTTTTTGAAGATACTATCCAAAGTTGCTTAGTACTCAAAGCCTCAGCAATAAAAAAGATACAAAACACTATAAAACATGTATAGAATGTCTTTCTCATTATCTTCTCCCAGAACTTATGAACGTGATGATTTTCTGTTGTTTTTTTTTTAACTTTGAATGAGGAAACCCTTAGGTTTTTATGTGATTTACATTCTAATTTTCATCTTTGAACTTGGCTTTCCTTGGTTGCTCAAGGGTTCCACAAAATTATTATCTAGAAGGCTTGAGAACTGAGTTGCCATAAGTATTCATGTCAGAAACCATGATCTTTTAAAAGTCTGGAGAAATTAGATTCTGATCTGCAGAGATGATCATATGGCAAATATTTAGCTACCCCAAACGTAGAAGAAGCTAAGTTTGTGTAAACAGTGAAACCGGAATATAGAGTTGAAGTGGAGTTTAAGGTGTTCACCTGAGCAAAAGATTCCTAATTAAGTCAAGGCAGGATCAAATAGATGAATATTTTTAGCAGTTAATGTGATCCTCTTAGTAACATGGAGCTAGTGTTAAATAGTGCTCGGAAGCTTTCAAATGTTCTTAAGTTTGACAAGTCATTGGTATACCACTGGTTATATATTAATAAATAGCCAAGTTAAGCATATTCCCTAAATGGTCTACCTAAATGTTCTGCCACAGGGGCAAGAAGCAATCCATCATTCATTTGCCAGTGTCTCCTTTGGAACAGCCTCTCATCTATAATATGAGAATTTTATTTACTATACATTCTAAAAGTAAGACAGGACTCAAAGCAGTGGAGGCAAGCCCTCTTCTGGTAGCAGTGCCCCAGATCTTGCAATGATCTGGGGCTTGCCCTTTGGGGGCTATCTTGCTAGGGGACAGCCCAGGGCAAATTCAAAAAGGCCCCTGGTGGTAAGAAGGAGGAAGCTAAATTTAAGTGATGTTTAAAAAAGACCTGACTGAGGTTGATGTTTATTCCATCATCTTCTAATCTTGTGGCCACCACACCCATGATTCAGGCAAACGGAGTATATGCCCGTATTTGTGTATGTGTGTGCATGTGGTGACCTCTTGCTTTTCATTCATTCCCTATTTGAAGTTCTCATAATTTTTAAATGTTTTTTCCTGCCTTATACTCTAGATATTCATTCTAAGTTTTACAGATATGAAAGTGTGTGTGTTTATAGGGCATGGTTGGGGGAGACAAGAATGTGAGGTTACTACATGATTTAGCAGAATCTACCCCTTCATTCTTTTGAGTTGACTTCTGGACGTAACATGCTTGAAAAATTTTATCTGTAGGATGTATGGGTGAGGAAGGATCTAAATTTGAGAATTATCTGATTTTTCTTCCTTTACATCTCAGCAGGGAAAGACATTGTATGTGGCAGCTTTGTTCATGGAGTCAGTTGTGCTTCAGTATCTGGATCTGTTGAGGAGGGAGAACTGCTGCCGACTTGTGATTAGCAGCAGTGCCCCAGTCTGAGAGCCAAGGATAAATACATGTGACACTGGAATCAGGTTCCCTTTCCTCTCTGCTCTTGAAGAACAGAAAGGAACCAAGAGTCACTTGACGTTTTCCCTGTCAAATGTGCCTCAACGTTAGTTCCTGGGTTTCATGGAACTCTAGCTTTTCCCTGACCGACAGGTGGACCTCAGCCCATTTTGAAGGCTTTCCAGTTTTTTTTTTTTTTTTGTGGGGGGCCTTCCGGTAAGGACCGGAAGACCTGCTAGACAAATTCTAAAAGAGCTGTAACACTGGCTTTCCAGTTTTTATGTATTAATATTTCTTAGAGTTCTCAGATGAGAACTATGTTCTCACACTCCAGCCCTGTTGTTCTTTTCTGCTATAAACTTGGTCTACATCATGCTGTTGCCAAGATGCGTGCAAAGTGTTGAGAAGTTGCTGCTCTGCTCTGAGGCCTTATTTATGTAGATTGATGGTCTCCTAGGGCCACCATGCTGCTTGATAATCCCTTCTAGAGCAGATTCCCCAAAAGAGTCCAGCTGCAAAGTCTCTTGGTCCTCCTTTTTGCTGCAACATCCTCAAAGTCTGCTCGGCATACAGAGATTGTAGTGGAGTGCTGTTTTTGCTTATCCAGTTTGTTGTTTTCTTCATCCTATTTTCCCCCTTTGGGAAGCCATGCCTCCTTCTTCCCTGTGGCCCAGTGGGATTGTCTGTCACAGTGCCTCGAATACACATGGCCTGCAGGTGTCCTCATGACTCAAGCTAGGATTAGCTGACTCAGTCTCCAGGAAAATCAGTACCTTGAATTGGGGTAACACAGTGTTGGAAGAAAGTTGTTATTTCAATGGAATTGCCTTAAAGAGACTGTCTATGAGTTTTTGACAGTGGTCCTGGGGCTGCTCTGCTTTCTGTCCTTCCTGAATTTATGTGGATTAGCTTTTCTTCTACAGCTAAGACATGCAGAGTCAGTTTGGGTTGCTAAAAATCAATGAACTGTTACTGACACTGATGGGAAATGGCCATTTCTCTGATCACTTAAGGTTAGTTGCAGCAGGTGACTCAGTCCTTAAGGAGTTAGAAGATTTAATGAGATGACTGTTTCGGTGATAACTGTAATTTCTGTCTTTCCAGAGGATCTGCTGATTTCCCAGTGAGTGGAGTGGAATGGGCAAAGGTGATACCCATTTGATACCCAGTGGAGTGGAATGGGCAAAGGTGATACAAAGGTGTTATATTCAGGATAACTGCTTCCCTTGAAGTATGGGCTCTACCACTGAGGCTCTCTTGTGCAGTGATTCTCCACTGAGGGCACAGGGTCCTGTGGCACAAATAATTGCCTGGGGATACATACAAGTAAATTGAGAACGTATATTCAGTTATTATATAGTTACACGAGGAACAAGTTGGAAATATTTGACATACATGACCCCATGTTGGATAATTCTCTCTCTTCTTGGTGGATCCTCTTCTTACACTTGGCTTCCACCACTTTGCCACCCAATTCCTCCGATCTGCACCAGTTAAACTATTGTGGGGACCAGAGGAGTTCATCTCCTAGAAATAGCCTCATCCCATGTGAATTAATGGCTGTAAATAAAACAAAGGCAGGAGGGAGGTGTTACCTAACTTCACACAACGGAATAGTTTCAAAATCACAGCTTACACCCAACAAAGACCCCATTACTCTGTGTATATTGAGCAACTACCACTTGCCTATGTTGTACTAAGTTCTTTTATATATGTCATTTTATTTAATTGTCTTCATGACCAGGAAGTAGCTATTATTATCCCCTCTCCCCCAGTGTTTGCAGACGAAAAAGCTGAGGTTCAGTGTGGCTGAGCAAGGTCAGATGTCACTTGCGTTGGAGTTCATGTCTGCTTAGATCCAAAGCCCAAGCTTCCCCCTGCACCGCTCCTCTCTTTTCCAACTCCCTTTTACAAATTCAAGATGTCATAGGCTCTGAAGATGTAAATAGATTTTACATGGTAACTGTTCTCAAAGAGCTCAGCATTCAGCAGAGGAAAGGGCTGGCTTAAGCAACCAACTGTAATAAGAGCATATTATTAGAGGCACATGCAAAATGTCCTGGGAGCTCAGGGAATATTAATTCAGTCTGTGTTTGGTTCATGAAGGAAGACTTGCCGGAGAAGGTGTCTTCTGGACTAGAATTTGAAGACAAATAGGAATTAACTGTGCTGAAGCCCTCCTCACCCTGCTCAGGCTCTGACACCCTATGCTGGGCAGCGTGGACTCCTATCACCAGCACAAAGGGTGCATGGGCACCTTGCTTGGTGTCACCTAATGACTTTTAGACTGAATAGTCCAGTATGGGAATGGAAGGGATGTGATCCAAAAGCAGGGAAGGGAATGAAAGGGAAATGGGGAGGGAAAAGCAAGGGAAGGATGGGGATGAGGGGGGAAAGGAAAGGAGATGAGGGGAGGGGAGAGGAGCATAGGAGAATGAGAAGAAACTTGTACTTGAGCTTTTCATTGCTTTCACTTTTAGCTGGTGCATATTATTCCATAATAACAATTAAAAGCCCACAGTCCCTTCTTCTACTCAGAAGAGTTAGCTTATTTCTAAATTTTTCTCTGAAATAGTTGGATCAGTCTTTTTTTTTTTTCCTCAAATGGTTTTATTTTATTTTATTTTCTCTTTTTTAATTTATTTTAGCATATAATGGGGGTACAAGTGTTAAGGTTACATATATATATATTTATTTCGGCATATTTTGGGGGTACAGATTTTAAGGTTTCAATAAATCTGGGGGATGGTCATGCTGGAGACTCAGACTTGTGGGGGGAGGGGGGAATGGGCATTTATGGATCAGTCTTTAATGTACAGGTAGTTATGAAAATACCAGAAAGTGTCATTGAACTTTAGTTTGAAACCTGTGGTCTGTCTTGCACACCTGCTGTGTGAGAATTCACCACATGTTTTGTCTTGCTTAGAAACAGCCTTGAGTTTTAGAAAAAGTTCATTAAGTCATTTAATCTCATAAATTTACATTTGAACTTTCCTGGGATATTGCCTCATATTAGACTGGAGGGCTTAGATAAACCTTGAGTTTTTAAAAATTACTTTGGATGTAATACTTTAGCAACTAAAAAACATCTAAGTTCTAAGTTTAGATTTTGCTTGCAGCTCTAATTCTCACTGGAGCTTGTGTACTTCATTTAAAACTACACAAGACTCTTGGGAGAACTATTTTTAAGGAATGGCTTAGAAAGTTAGATAAAAACTGAGAGTGGAATAGCTAAAATTAAACATTCCTGTGGAGACTTTGTATGTCATCCAGAAGTTTCTTCACTTTTAATGAATATGTTTTTGTTTTTATTTTCAAAAATAAGATATTTTGAAAGATTCTAAACTCTTATATAAAAATATATGTTTCATTAAGAGGATATAATATTATTCCAGAATTAAGCTAAGTCTTCCCTAGTTTCAGCAAAGCTTTTAGGGCTGCATCTCTTTCTTTCTTCACTCTTTCCCTTACTCATCTCTCTCTCCTTAACTCATTCAACAAATATTTGTTGATCACCTACTATGTGCAAAGCACTGTTCTAATTGCTGGAGATACAGCAGTAAACAAAAGAGGCAAAATAATTGGTCTCATGGAGCTTCTGGGCTATTGGAGGAGACAGGAAGTAAGCAAGAAAACCGAGTAAGATGTGTATGTTAGATTGTGATAAGTGCAATGGAATAAAGTAAAGCAAGGAAGGGGGTAGAAAATGTTAGGGCAGGGGGGGCAATTCTAAAATCATCTAAATGAGGTGGTGACATTTGCAATGAGATGATGACATGGGAAAGACATTCTGGGCCGAGGTAGGAAGTGCAAAGGCACATGAGATGATATGAATGTTCCTCATGGGTTTAAGGAAGAGCGAGGAGGTGAGTGCAGCTTAGAGAGGAAGCGTAGCAGGAGATAGGTCAGAGTATCAATGGGAGGGAGGTGCAGGATAGGTAGGGCCTTGCAGGTCACAATAAGGACTTTGCAGTTGGCACTGAACGAGATGGAAAGCCATCATCCTGACCTCTGAGTAACTTATCTTCTTTACTTCTAATGATGTTATTTCTTTTTAGTGCATTCTTTCAGGTTTTGATATACTATGTGCTGGCATTTAAAATTGAAATATTAATTGAGAACCTTGTACATGTACGAGGAATAGTGTACCTGGAACATAGTAGGTTCTCAATGAATATCTATTGAACAAGTAGAAAATTAGGTGGAATTAATTTTGCAAACATGGAATCATTCCAAATTCTATTTTTATTTTTTATGGTTAAATTTTATTAATACTTAAATAAAAATTAACAAAATTAACTTTACCAGAATGAAACAAATAATTGAAATAACTAACAATTAACAGATAACTAGACAATTTAGAAATTTAGATAAAAATTTTATCATAAAGTATTAATTTCTGAAAGATGTAGTTTTGAAAAATGGTATAAAAAGATGATTTAATTAGTTATATGTATTTCTACTTACCTTTTACTTAACTTTTAGCTAGAATTGATAGCATTTTTAATAATTTATCTTTTTACCTCATTTTCTATTAGCATTATGTTATTTTAAGTTGTTATATTTATTTCACTTATTTTCTGTTCTTTACTCATAATTTCTAGTTTGTTTTAGCTGTATTAGCATAATTTAATACTTTCACTACTTACCCTGATCTTTTTAATAAGCCTTCTTTATTCATCTTAGTAGCCTTGTTTCCACTGTTCAGTGGAATTTGCAAGAAAGTCCTGTGGGCTGAGTTTTTTCATGCTCAGAACATTACAATTAATCAACCCCTTCCTGGATAGTTTCTTGATTTTCACATTCCTTCGGAACTTTGCATATAATGTTAATATCCTCTTCTGATAGTGAATATTTCTACGGAGAGGTCTAAGGCCATCCTGTTTTAAAATTTCATTTTATTTTAATATTAATTTTTAATGATGCCATGCAGTTTTCTGTAAGGGGGGGGGGCTGCCCCTGTATTCACTTCATTTTTAACCACCCATCTTTTCCCCAAGGCTGCTCGCACTCATCTGGTCACAAAGGGGAAATGATAAAGCCATTTCTCTGCCTCTGGTACTATTAGGATGGACAGATAAAATACACGATGCCCAATTAAGTTTGAATTTCATATACTTTTTTAGTACAAGTGTGTCCCAGTGCAACTGGGTATTCTGTAATTGTATTTGCTAAATCCGGCAACCGTAGTTCCTATTTATCGTAGACTGGCTTTCCAGCCTTTGGTGGGGTGTAGGCGTGTTAGGAGAACTTGACTGGGGCTTCCAATGTTCCTTCTGTCCTCTGGCTTACTGTTTTCTCATAGGATCTCATTTCATTAATTTTCTCATCTTTCAACCCTGCTAAGTCCTTGTTCCTGGCTGGGGATAATGAGGTCTGGGCGGAAATGACAGACACACCTTCCCTCTGCTTTTCTCCTGGCCTGTAAAGACATTAGCGGCCATTCCTCCCACCTCACTGGGAGCCTGGAGAAAGCTGGCAACAGCTTCTACCCCTCTCAGAATTGGTTCGTTTAATTTCCAGGGACCGTGTTCTCAGTCACTGAGGTTGCTTCTCTGCAAATCGGGGCTATTAGTGTGACTTCTCAATCTATTTTGTGTCTGTGCTCCCTTATACCTCCTGTGGCGTGAATTAAAAGTCATGCTATAGGATGCCGCCACACCATGCCAGCATCTGTGCCTTTTTTCTTGTAGACATTTATGGCAGAAATTTGGGTCCTTGTTTGCCTGTGTCTATGTACGTCTATTAATTTTTCACTACTTTGTCTTCATTTTGTAAGGAGGAGGTGGAGCGTCTGCAGTCTAGCGATAATCTGCGATTTTTACTCAGAAGCAGTGTAAGTAGAATGATTATTATGCTAGCCTTAAAGTTGGAAATATGTCATCCATGAGAAATCACCTGATATCAAGCTTTTGTGAGGATTAGCTCTTTGAAAACTTTGGTGTTTCTTCCATGTTTTTATTTTGGTTAGGGTTTCTATTTTTTGAGGGTTTCAACATTTTTAGAATTAAAGTACACATACTATTCTTTAAAATTATTTTAGTTTTCCTTTGATCAGTTGTCACTTTCCTTTCTCATTCTGAAGTTTGTGTATTTGTGTTTTAGCCCTTCTCAAAAATCTTTGGTGGCATTGTGGCTTACCTAGTTTATTTATTTGCCATCTTCCAAGTGAGTAGAGTTCTTATATTTATCAATCAATTCTAATTTTGTTGTTTTCTAATTCATTAATTACTATTTTTAATTAAAAGTTTTTTCTTTAGTTGTGGCATTATTTGCCAGTGTAACATGCACACTACTTAACTGTACAGCCCAATGAATGTTTCCCTTTTTTACATCCATATAGCCACCACTAAGGTCAAGTTATAGAACTTTTCATCACTCCAGAAAGTTCTTTCTTGACACTTCTCTGTTAATGCCACTCTACCCCACCCCAAGAGGTCATCCCTCTGCTGATTTCTATTATCATAAATTAGAATGGACTGTTCTTTGGCTTCTAATAAGTAGATATTACAGTGGAGGGTGGGAGGCCCTGGCTTCTTTTGCTCAACATTTCTTTTTGAAATTCAATCATGTTTTTGAGTATATCCATTAATTTTAAATTTAATTTTAAGCTGTCCCATAATTTTTTAATGGTGCATAATAGATGTACAGAGTTTTGGGGGTACATGTGATTATTTAATACAGTCATATAATCTGTAAAGATCAAATCAGTGTATTTGGGATATCCATCACCTTAAATAATTGTCTTTTCTTTTTGCTAGAATCATTACAATCTTCTCTCTAGCTATTTTGAAATACATAATGGATAATTGTAAATACACTATAGTCACCCTATTCATCTATCTAACAGTAAGTCTTATTTCTTCTGTCAAACCTCATATTTGTACCCATTAATGAACTTCATTTCCCCACTCCTCCCTAGCCTTCCTGGCTTCTGGTAAACCACCAATCTACCCTCTGTCTTCACCAGATCCACTTTTTTATTTTCCATGTATGAATGAGAACATGTGATATTTGTCTTTCTGTGCTCGGCTTATTTCCCTTAATTTATGAATACTTTGTTATTTTTCCAAGTCAAATGTAATGGTTGTTTTATTCATATGTGGTGACATAAGAGTTTCAGGCTGTAGATTTTCCTCCTGGTGCAGTGTCAGTTTTCCCCCTTGGTTTTGGTAAGTGTGCCTTCACGCTTGTTTCTAATTCCTTTGCCGTTTGTACTTTGATTCACTTTCTGATCCAAGAGTTGTATAGAAGAATCTGTCTTAAAATTTTCAACTATCTAGGTTTTTAACGTCTACCTCTGTTATGGTTTTTAATTTTATTGCATTGTGGTCAGAAAACTCGTTTTGTGACATTTCCATTAAAAACTATATTGAGATTTCCTTTTATACGTACTATATACTCATTAAAAAATGTCCCCTGGGTACCTTTAGAGAGTATTTTTTTTTTTTTTAAGAGCTCATGGAATATTTACAAAGATTGATTAGAGGATAGATCACAAAAGCCGAATGATACAATTAACAAAGTTAATAACATATTTTTCCCCTCTATCTATAAGTATTATTACATTGTCTTCTGGCATTTAATATTGCTGAAAAGAATTGGTTTAGCCTAATGGGTTTGGTTTTTTTTTTGTAGATTCTCTTTTCTTCTATTTAATTACTTATAGACTTTTTTCTCTGAAGTTCAATAGCTTCTCTATGTTTCTGTTTCAGTGGTTTGCTAATAATTTTTACCTGTGTAATGCAAACCCTTTCAATCCGCACATTCCTATTTTCTTTTATTTCAGGAAATGGATTTCTATTACCACTCTGTATTTTTCCTTTCCATGTACACTGCCGTTTTCTTCAGGACTACAATTCAGATGTTGGATGTCCATTATCTTTATTTCATACCTATCATCTTTATCTCTAATCACAAGTTATTCTTTATCCTATGTTCTTCCCCTACCTGGTCCTCTGTATCACTGACTCTGTTTTCACTAATAATGATTTCACTTCTTACTGCTACCATTGTGGTTTTCATAATGTAATGGGGTCATGAATCTGATTTTTTCTTTTCCTTTTCTTCTATTATCTTATCTCCTAGTTGATCTCATGACTCTCTTCTTTCCCATTTTTGTGAAATCCATGTCCTCTTTGCATTTTCAAGACTTTATGAAAATCTTGCCTAGAAATGTTTTCTGTACTACAAAGAAGTGTTCTTGGAATAATGTTCTTCCAACATATATTCTTCATCTTCCATTTGTTTATTGGAGTCCTTTTGCACTTCTCCTCCTCTTTTTTTCCTTTCTGTTTTTGTTTTGGTATGGATTCTGCAGACACGCTATGTTTGAAGCCTCTTTTTATTAATCCTTTCTGAATGGGGCAGTTCTCCCTGGCTTGTTATTTACTCAAGAAGTAGATAGTGGGATTGTCTTTCCCTTGAATTCATTCTTCTCCAGACATATTGGGAACTTTAAAATTGTGCTACCATGCTCTGAGGGGGAGGGTTCAACTCTGTTTAGTCCTTCATCTGCTTGATGGACAGAGGGACAAAATAAGGAGTCTTAATCCAGGCGTTTTGTCATCGTGTTCTTTGCCATTACATACGATGATGAATCCTCTGTCCTGGGGCCGATCCCATCTTCAGCCCCTGTCCATTCCTTACTTTAGGTCAGCAGTTCACTCTGGCAGAAGGCTGGGTGAGTGGGGAGTCCTGGGACTCACTTTCAAGACCTTTTATTTGCTGTCTTAAAGTTCATTTAATTTATCCAAGCACATTTTTTGGCTTTCATTTATTGTCTCGCCTCATCTCCATAATTTCTAATGAATAGATAGTTGGGTAGGAAAAGGTAGGTATAAAATAACCCTGTCTCCAGCCCTACCTCTCTAGCATCTAGAAGTTGCTCAATAAATATTTGTTGAATTGATACTTGTAGCTTCTTTTACTGATCGCTCATAATTCCTGCCTCCATTTTTACAAACACAGGATTTTGGGGAGAGCCCTTTAGGACTCTTGCTTTTTCTTTTTTGAGACAGAATCTCACTCTGTTGTCCAGGCTAGAGTGAGTGCCATGGCGTTAGCCTAGCTCACAACAACCTCAAACTCCAAGGATCAAGCGATCCTCCTGCCTCAGCCTCCCGAGTAGTTGGGACTACAGGCATGCGCCACCATGCCCAGCTAATTTTTTCTATTTTTAGTTGTTTGGCTAATTTCCTTCTATTTATAGTAGAGATGGGGTCTCGCTCTTGTTCAGGCTGGTTTCTAACTCCGGAGCTCAATCAATCCTCCCATCTCAGCCTTCCAAAGTGCTAGGATTATAGGTGTGAGCCACTGTGCTCGGCCTAGGACAATTTTTTTTTGAAACAGAGTCTCACTTTGTTGCCCTGGCTAGAGTGAGTGCCGTGGTGTCAGCCTAGACAGCAACCTCAAACTCCTGGGCTCAAGCCATCCTCCTGCCTCAGCCTCCCAAGTAGCTGGGACTACAGGCATGCACCACCATGCCTGGCTAATTTTTTCTATATATATATTTTAGTTGGTCAATTAATTTCTTTCTATTTTTAGTAGAGACGGGGTCTCGCTCAGGCTGGTTTTGAACTCCCGATCTCGAGCAATCCGGCCGCTGCGGCCTCCCAGAGTGCTAGGATTACAGGCGTGAGCCACCACGCCTGGCAGGACAATTGTTTTTTAAAAAGAGAGAATCTGTATTCTTCCAGACGGTGTGGAGTCAAGTGATGGTTTCCATGGATCCTTCTTTAACTTGGTGTGAATTTCTTTATCCAGATATTCATTATGGCCTCTTTTATGCCATTTTCACTATTCCTTTATTTCACCATGAGCGAGGATTTTCTGGCTCTATTGTTGATTGTTGTTATTCATTTCAGTGGATTTTACTAAGTAAATATGCATTTATTATGTCACCTTTTAGCAAAAATTCTCAAGTTGCTATTTTAGGACAAAATATAAATGCTGAGATAACCGTTCCTATGGGGCACATGTAAGAAACTGTTTGAGACAGCTGTCGCCACCATTTCTAAGTCTCCTTGTTGCTGGTACGAGGGTCTGCTGTTCTGATTTTTGGCACTCTGGAATTCATGAGGTCCTCAACTCATGACTAATCAGCATGGTTTTGACATATGTTCTTATTTTGACTTTTGGGACCTGTGTTTCTATGGGCATGTGACTGTACTCAGCATTTTTACATAAGATTCTGACCACCTTGAGTTTAGCTAATTTCCAAGCTGTTACCTTCTTTGCTTTTAATTTCTCACCGCCAGTTTCCTGCTTTGTATTCCCAAGCCCACCCTCACTTATGGTCTAGGCGTAGAACTGATTTGTAAGGTGAAATCCAGCACTCTGCATTTACTACTTTGAGATTTCTTGAAGTTAACCCAATCCCATTTTCCAACAGTTGCAGGAAAATGACTTCTATGAATGGAAGTTGTAAAAAAAAAAAAAAAAACAGGTGAAACTGAGCTCCAAAGATCCTGTGGCATTTTGAGATAACTGATTTTATTGCACCAAAAGTGTCCAGAGCGGTGAAAGAGCAACACAGACCCAATTTTCTGTAATCTTTATTATTTCACTAGTACAAAGTCTTGTTTGGAGCAAAGCGAGGAGTGCACTGGAGTTTCGTCTAATGCAATCTCATTTCTACCTAGAGCAAAGGTGTGAGTACACAGGGTGAGACAGAGGGTTGTGGCTCAATGCCTGGGTTTTCTTCAAGAATCGCCAGTGCCTTAATCAGCGATTATAAATCAATGGTTTTACTTGGCTAGTCTGTGCTTCTGATTATCTATTTATGGAATTGGAAACTTTATCATGATTTTCGTAGCCTAATAGATGTTGTGATGATTGATGAGATACTGTAAGCTCACCAGATGTCCTCATCCACGAAGAAAGCCCGGGGTTTTACATACTTGGCTCGGATTTCTGATTGGTCACTTTAGTCTTGGATCAGGATTTCTATAGCCTGCCGGTAATCGTTCCAAAAGGAAATTGCAACTTTTTCTAGAAAAGTTGAAGTTTTAGAGAATGGTGAGAAAATGAACATTTAAAGGTATAAGTCATAATTTCCTTTGAATATAACATATTTTTGTCAGAGTATGTTACGTTAAGTAACCTAAAAGATGCTTTATGCTCTTTTGTGTTTGTTTGTTTTAAACCTTTCATTTCAGAATTTTTTTCAATTAAAATTTTCATATCACCCAGCAATGAGAGTCTTATTCTAGAATTTCAAATGATATCTGAAATCATGGTAATCAGAAATTGAATATGTGTTTCTCTGTGTATGTTTTGTTTTTAATTTGTGATTTTTATTTTTAGCTTAGAAATTACAATCTTGTGCTAGATACTTCCTCTGTCTGGAATGTTTCATGCCAGGATCTCACTTAGCTGGCTCTATATTGTCCTTCAGACCTTGGAAAGACCCTTCTTGATAACCCATGTAAAATAGCTCCTGATCACTCCCTTTTACTTTTTCTATTTCAATTCTCTGCATAGTGCTTATAGCCCTGGGGTATTTTCCTTCCCTTCCCCCGCCCCCCAACAACTTCTCTCTAGTTTTAGATGACTGCCTTATTTAGATATGTGTCCCCAGTTGCTCACAAGATTGTTTAAACTCCAAGGTAGCAGAGACCTTGCCAGTTAGTCACCTCTAATTCTGCCATCTAGAACAGGACCAAGAGTAGATACACCGTCAAACATTAAATGAAGTAATGAAGTGCTAAATTAAGTTTGGTCTAAAGCTGCCTCCCTACATATTTTGGCCTAATGGTTTCTCCATACATAATGACCTGTAATCTAACCTGATATGTAAACAGATGAACCTCCTCTTTTAACAAGTAGCTGAGTCTCAGCCAATCACAGGCAGACAACTGCCCAAACCGGGTTTAAATAAGGCAAACAACCAGCTGCAATCAATCCAGTTGTTTCTGTGCCTTACTTCCATTTCCTATATGTCACTTTCCTTCTTCTGTCCATAAATATTATCTGATCACACAGTAGTCCTGGAGCACTCTGAACCTATCCTGGTTCTGGGGGCTGCCTGATTTACAATTTGTTCTCTGCTCAATTAAACCTCTTTAATTTTAATTTGTCTAAAGTTTTTCTTTCAACAGAAGGAATAAATTCAAATTTTCTTAATATTTCATTGAACTCAATATTGAAGTAATTATAATTAGTGACTGTTCCATAGAGCATCATTTAATGTTCAATGAATGTCTGAATGACTGAACTGCTATATCCTTAGGGAAGATGTGCTGCTTTGTACAGTCCCTTGTGGGTTTAATAAATCCTTCCCATTGAGAGTGTTTGCCTTTTCCAAACGCATGGCTCTTCCTTTGCTCATATTTCTTTTTTTTTTTTTTTCCATGAGTCTTAATAAAATATATTTTCCTAGGTCTAGCAATTCTTTTTTTTTTCTACTTTTTTTTATTATGGGGGTACAAATATTGTTAGGGTTACATATATTGCCCCTGCCACCCCTCCCCACCCCGTCATGCCAGAGCTTCAAGTGCGTCCAACCCCCAGGTGGTGCACACTGCACCCATTATGTAAGTACACACCCTTCCCCTCCTCTCCTACTTCTACCTGCCCATCTCCCAATAATAGTTTTTTTTAGACATTTTAGTTACAATGTATACCTTTAACCCTTTTTAGGGAGAGGCAAAGATATGCCTTTGCTCATATTTCTGAATCTATCCTGAGCTCAATCCCTGGCCTCCTTGTTTTATTTTACCTGGGCACATCTAAAATATAATATGATTATTTCAGAACATTGATGTGATTATATAACAATAGGGAGTAACCCAACACAATGACTAGTTACTGAATTATTTTTCAAGTTTTGGATTGTATTATATTCTTGTAGCAATTCACACATTCAGGAAATAAATTCATGCTTATGGTGTTCAAGGTACTTGGAACACATGGATGCGAATGCAAAGTTCTTATTCTTGAGGGGCCAACATATTGTTGGGGAAGATAGACTTATAAACACATAATTTAATGAGTTTATAAAGATATCTTAGGACATAGACATTGTTTTTGAAAGTTGCCAGGAAGGTAAGAACAAGAAAAATGTTTTAACAAGTGCCCAGTAGACTCTTAGTCACCAGGTTCTACTCAGCTCCAAGTCATTTCTACACTGATGCTTACCTTATACCGACTTTTTCTAAGCAAGGATTATGCTTCTGAGCAGTGCCTGGCAAATGGTAAACACTTAACAAATATTCAGTGAATAAATGAATAATTTTGCCCTTTAGGTTACAAAAGTACATCAAAGTTTTCCTACTGGGTATATATGAGTAATGTTTGTTTGAAAGAAAGGAACACTGACATCAGGGTGGAAAGATCTGGATTTGGGGAGCGCCTAGTGCCTGTGGGAATGCCTGAGGATGGTCTCAAAGGGAGCTAGTTGTTCTCACTCTCCTTGGAGCAACTGAGCACCAGCATGTAGGGCACATGCAAAGTTGGGGGGTGGGTAGCTTTAGGGGAAAAATAGAGAGGTTTAGAGGAACAGGCAAGGGATATTCTTTTCATAGACAATTGGGTACTGCAGATATTCTGAGTTGCTCGGAAGCATCCAGAGGCAAACACTCTTTGAATTTGAAGCATCGGATTGTTATTGTTGCTCTCTGAAGTTACAACTTCCGAAATGAAATCTTTTGCTGTTTTCCCCTAAGACCTGATATTTGTCAACGTTGGCTCCTGCTTTAGGACAATTTGGCTTATTTATTTATTTTTTCTTAAAGAAAAGCACTGCCAGTTCTCCTTCAATACGGACTTGTCTCTCCCCCAGCATTTCTGCTACACTGACAGAGATTGAACTCAGGATGGAATCCATTTGTCAAGGCAGGTTTGGAGAAGGGAGCTCTGCTCTGTGGGTCTGCCATCAAGTCCCTCTCAGTCTAAGAATGTGTGGTGGCAAGTGGTGCTTCCTGAATCTCAATCAGGCAAAAACTACCCCAGGTATGTGCCGCCTGTACTATTACTAATGTCTTTTATTAAATATATATGAAATTTACTTAACAAAAGCACTCACATTCATAGAATCACAGACTTTTTGTGCACTGATGGGTTCTTTTTTCTCCTAATGCACATAAGATAAATTTATAACTCATAAAATATGTTCATTCTGTTATCTAATAAAACTATCTTGTGTCTTCCCAATGGTGCAGGACCTATGCATTAGGAAACTCTGGCAGAATAGCTTAAAGCTTGCTGGAATGTAAACCTTAATCACAGCCATGCTGGCTAAAATCCAGAGGGGGTAAAGAATCATGGAAGGGGCTTTGTGCCTCTACACCTGACTGCTGGCTCAGTCTCCTGGTCTACTGAAGAGAAATAACGGGGTCTCAAGGAACATGGAGACAAAAACACATATTTTTTTCCAGATAGGTGACATTAAGCAAAGAAAAAGGAAGTTAAGCCTCAGATTTGGCGTGGCAAAAGAAGAAATGATACAAGAGGCTGAGAGATCTTCTGAGTCTTTTTTGCCCAGATAATGAATGTACAGGTGATGGAGCTACAACCCTGCATGAGGTACAAGAATCAATGGGGCCAAGGAGGGATTTGTGGTACATCAATGAGGATGAGAGACTTGCATTTTCTCTGGAACCTTGGCCTTGAGTCTGATCTTGGCTGCTGGGAGTGACCAGGCCTCCAGATAACTGGGGCTTACTTGTTCACACTGGCTGAAAGGCAGGGATGTATAGGTTTATAGCTCATATATAGGTTTATAGCTCGGGCATAGGTTTATAGCTCATGAAGAATCAGGATTCTCATTGACCAAGACACTGCTCTGTTATATTTATTCTGTAATGGAGAAACTAAGTGAAAAAAGACTGCTGCTTTTAGCAGCAGCTACAGGGAGAATTCAGAATGACAGAAATGTAGTTACAGTGGCACTTCGATTAATAAAACCCATGGGAAACATGCCCTTTTACAAGGAAATCATCATGTTTGAGAAAATACAAAACAAAACCACTATAAATCACAAAGTTGCTTGTATGTGCTTTTACTTGACTGGAAAAAAACAACCACCAACAAATAAAAAATCCAAGCAATCAAAAACCAAAAACCTGTTTCACAGCTTGTGTTGTCTCCTCACAGTTTGAGGTGAATAGGAATTCTCTGAGCTAAATTTCTTTTGAGCTGCCAGTCCTACCTTTCTGCACCTTCCCCAGCCTTCTGCCCACCCACCCCAGCATCCCTCCCTCCTGAATGCAGTGGGCGCTTCCTCGCAGGCCTCCATATTCAAGACCTTCTTTCATTTCTTCTTTCCCATCAAAACCGAGAAAAATCTGGAAACCCAAACCATTTATCTCTACTGATTATTAACTAATTATATTTTGACTCAGCATATCTTGTGAGCATGCCCTGCAGAACACAGTTTCTCAGATGTCAGTGGGTGCCCTGCAACCACAAGGAAAAGGCTATGTGTCAAATACGATTAGAAAACTCTGAGTTGAACAAATTGAATGGGTTCATTACTGCAGGACTTTTTGGAAACTTGAATGTGTCTACGTAAATTAGGAATCCTAAGAGGGGTATATAGCATTCAGTGTTTCCAAAACTTATTTGACCATGGTAAAAAAAATTTTTTTTTGAGCATCATGAAGAATATTTTTCTAATATACTTGGGGGAATGCTGTTTTAGCTGAAACTCATTTATGTGTGTCTAAGCAAAGTGTATCTAAGCAATCTGTTAACATTTTGTACCTTCAGTGGATTGAAGAGTGGCCTCCCCAAAGTATGTCCAAGCCCTAACCCCTGGGACTTGTGAACGTGACCTCAATTGGAAATAGGATCTATGCTGATGCAGTTAAATTCAGGATCTCAAGATGAGGTCACCCTGGTTTTAGAGAGGGCCTTAAATCTAATGACAGTGTTGTTACAAGAGACAGAAAAGGAGGAGACATCATGACATACAGGGGAAAACGTGGAGAAAGAGGCAGAGATTGGTGTGATGCTACCAAGAAATGCCAGAAGTCCTCAGAAGCTGGACAAAGCAAGGAGAGACTCTCTTTTAGGGCCTTCTGAGGGGGCGTGGCCCTACTGACTCTTCGATTTTGGACTTGGGGTCCTCAGAACTGTGAAAGAAGACATTTCTCTTCTTTTAAGCCACCTGGTTTGCGGTACTTTGTTGTGGCAGCCTCAGGAAACTAATACAACACTCCTTATCTATAATTGTGGAGTGTGGTGGCTTAGGCTTTGGCCTTTTATTGTTAAAAAAAGATTAGGAAGCTGTGAGCAGTGTACAGATGTTTTTAAGGGCAGAGCCTGATTCAACTTTTTGTTCACTGAAAATAAAATTGATTTAATCTTTTTGAGATGATTGGCTGAAGAGTGTAATACATTAGAAGAAATAACCAAGACAGTTCTCTTCCCTTTTGGTCCCTTTCCAGTGTTTTCCTGTTTTGATGAAAACTGCATCCGTGCTGCCTCTTTCACTTTCCACACCTCATCAATCACAGATCCTGATACTGTTAACTTCCACATATCTTTCTGATCCATCCTCTTATCTGCATATTTATTGCTGCACCTGAGTTCAGGCTTCATCACCTCTTATCTGGGCAAATCTCCCAACTGGCCTGCCTGTAGGTATTCTTTCTCCTCTCCAAAACATTTTGCAATTGGAGCATGTTATGTGACTCCCACATTCCCCACCACCACTGAAAATATTCCCATGGTTTTCCACTTTTTTTGGATAAAGTTCAACATTCTAAATATGTGCTACAAAGCTTACCGTGGTCTGGTATCTACCAAATCCCTAAACTCGTTTCTTCACATTTTGCTTCTCTTTGCTCTCTTCTCCCTCAGCCATAGTGAATTTCTTTCAGTTCCTTAAAACACTTTGCTTTACTTGCCACAGGGCCTTTGCCCATACTGTTTCTGTTGCCTACATCTTTCTCTCTTGCCCTGTCACATAGTTGATTTTACTCTTCCTTCAGATCCCTGCTCAGACATCAGTTGGTCAAGAAAGTCTTCCCAGGCCTTGATGGTGATCAGTTCTCCTTGTAATATGGCTCTTTGGTTAACAGTTATCACAGTCGCACTGTTGCATGTACTGTGTGATTGCTGCCTACTAAACCACATGCTCATGAGAGGAGGGACTGTGTCTGGTTTTGCTAATTGGCACAGAGTAAGTGTTCAGTAAGTATTTACTGAATGAATGAACAAACAAAATCAAAGAAGTAATGAAGAGAATGAACAGAGGTTGGTCTAGTTGAAGATGTTGGAAGTCTAGTGCTTTCAGGGTATGAGAATTATGAAATCTTACTTCCTCCAGAACCTGAAAGCATCAGTCATGCTTTTCAATAATAAGCAAAAGAAACCAACTCTGGCTAATGGAAGCAGAAAAGATATTTGCTGAAATATAGCGGTGACTCACAGAATCTCTGATAAGGCTGGAAAACCAGGCTTGGAGACTACGCAGCCAGCACAATGCTCACATTATGCATCAGAACAGGATCTATGTAGATACCATTGTTGCTACCACACGCCCATTAGACACTGGGCACTGCTGATAGGATCACACCTACTACTAACTCTGGAAGCCATTGCAGCTGCCACGCCTGCCACCACCCTCACCAGAATGACTTCTATGCAAGCCATGCTCCTTTGAACCACCATCTTCCTTTCCAAACTCTGAGGTAGAATCTGGGAAAGTTTTGCATTTTCAGCTTCAGTAGTGGGAGGTGAGGTCAATCTTAGGAGGCTGCAGAATATTCAGCCATAGCAAGACTGTACAGATGTTGGAGAACACAAAGAATAATGGTTATTCACTGTGGCCCACTTAGCTGCACAGTTGTAACATATTGTCTTTTCCTCTTACATTAAATAATAAGAAACGTACCTGTCCAGTGATGTTAGCACACCTCACACAGGTGAATATGTGGTCAAGGCACAATAATTAACTACATCTAGCTCCAAGACAAGCATCTCTGGTCCTATCATGTCATGACTCAATATTCTGGATTCAATTGTAAAGTTTACTACTACCTCGGTATAAAAGAGTAGGAGAAAGGAATAGGAAATAAGAGGGAAAAAAATCACATAAATAAATACATGAGGCTACAAGGCTACAAAGGCTAGAGTTTTTGTTTCTATAACTAATCATAAGGCCATAGTTGACACTTTTATCTATCTTTCTCCATTTCCCATTTCATGATTCTTTTGTATTCAGCCACCTCAGTTCATCAGAATTCCTTACCAGCATTAAATATCTCTATTCCTGAGGGTTCTAAAACCTATCTGTGCAGGATTGCTGCTGTCTTCTAGTGAATTTTTACCATGGAATATGGAAATATAATAAGGTCCCTCAGGGAAGCTGCCCCCATTGTGAAACAGCAACCCTGCTTGCCCTGGGTAATCACTCATCCTAATCAGCAACCCAGCACTCTTTTTTGCCTTTTTTTTCTGAGGAGCCCAAAGTGAAATAACTCAGTTTCCAATTCAATGGTGCTATTGTTGTGGCCCTGGGGGACACTACCTCTAAATCATTAGAGCCCATGTGGAGGAGATAGAAGGAGACATTTTGAGATGACTTGTTAGGAGTAATAGTGAGAAATGATTCTGGCTCCACTTCCTAGTTTGAATATCCATATACTTTGAAGAGGGAGGAAACAACAATATGTATTGGTTTCTGGGTTCAGAGTATATATTGTATCTCATTGGAGCACTTCAATCTCATAAAGTGGTGTCCGAACTGAGTCTTCAATAGGCCATTCCACTATTTCATGAGGTCATCTGCTTCTGAGTGATGGGGCACATAGTAAAACTGGTGACTCTCATAGGCACTGGCCCACTGTCATATTTATTTCACTGTAAAGTGAGCTCCTCAATTAGAGGCAATAGTATGTGTGTGTTATACCATGATGGTGATTACAGCATGCAGGAAATCCATGAGTGAAGAAGCTGCCAGAGGCATTGAGATCAAGAATAATAAATCTAAATCCAAAATAAGTAGGGGCAAACTAATCACAAACACCTTCCCCCTCCATGATAGAGTGGATACAATTAAATCAAAGCCATCAGATGCTTGACTGGTCCCCCTGGGATATGGTGCAATAGAGAGAACTTGGTATTGGTCTCTGCTACTAGCAAATAGGACCCACAGATGTGCAGCAATGTTAGCCTTGGTGAGAGGAATTCTGCACTGTCGTATAATTCCATTTCTGTGTTTATAGCCAACCTTGTTCATGAACCTAATGAGCAAGCATGGTTGGCAGGGGAAAGAGACTAATAAATATCTGTTTATAGAAAGCCTCCTTTCCAGCTGTGGCCCTTTGGTTGTCATTCACATGGGACAAAAATGTCCTTGCTCTGTGGTTTCATTCTAATAGCCCCTTTTACATGTAGCTCTTTCCCAAATCTTTTTTTCCTGAATTCCCCAAGAAACTTGATTCTTTCAAATTCTTGACAATCTAGCTGAGCCATTAACCATTGTCTGTAAATTGATAATAAATCTTATTTTAGGTCTTCTCTGTTTCTAGGCAAGTGGCCCACGAAGAACTGCTTAAAGGTGCACCTGCTGTGGCAGTCCACTTCTGGTGCCAGCAGGTTGGACAGAAGTAGCTGTAAGTCAGGCTTAAAATGTCCTCTAGGTCAACTGGCCACAGTGAACTTCTCACCAAACTTTGAAGTCTGTTGTCAGAGATGTCATGATACCACCTTTAGGAGTGATACTTCCAGGGTGAACCACCTGCTTATGCCTTCTGCTTATGAACCACCTGCTTATGACATTCTCAAGGCTGAGCTTATAAATACCATGTTCTCTTGATAGTGGGGTGCTGCTGGGCACATGTATACATACGGGTTGTTGAAATCAAATAACACCTAATTTCCCTGTCTCCTGATTTTTCTTGATAAGACATCCAGTCTCTACCAGGGCTTAATAAATAGCAAGTCAAGAGCTGTTTCTTAAAATGAGAACAGTACTTATTTAACAAAGAGTGTGTGATTTTACTACAAAATCCTTAAGGACACCTTTCCCACTGGGGATTTCTAGAAGGCCCTTACAATGTCATATTCTTCTGCAGACAATTAAAGCACCATTGGATCCTCTGGGTCAGAACTCCAGTGAGGCCCTGCAGGGCTCCACTCGCTGCAGCCCTTTGGAGTTCCAGTAACTGTCATGGAGGGATTCCAAGTATAGATCAATTTCTTGTCCTTCTTCCTTCTCCTTTGCCTTTTTACTTTCCTTCTTTCACGTATATGTATTGAGTTCCCTCTATCCCAGTCTGTCCTGCCTGACCACAGAAGGACCCTGTCTCTCACTTCTCAATGCAATCCCTGCCCTCTTCTCCCTATACTCCAAGACTCTCAGCTATAACTTTTTATAATTCTGCTACTTTTGTCATTATAGTAGTTAGCACTTAATTCATTTTTAAGTAATGTAACTCTTCCTTATTCTGGAGTCCTAGAACACATCACTACCTCTCCTATATCCGTTGACCTTTGTCAGAAACTTTCTAAGTAGAAGACATATGTTGAAGCTGCATGTCCTCTTTGTTCATGGAAGCGTCGCATATGAAGCTGAATTGCCTCGGGATTTGGGTTGCTGCTAAAACTGGGTCTCAGGACACAAAATAACTGTAGGGAGTCAGGATTTCTGCTTCATTCTTATTTAGAGATATTTCCACTGAGAGGAGAACATATGTTTCTTTCTGTCATAAACCTTTCCTCAGAAAGAGCTCTAGGGTCGTTTGGTCCATGGCACCAACAAGGCTGTATCACTGGAGGAAGGATCTTACTCCAGCTGGTTCTAAAGGCCTGTGGAGATGGGCTTGCTGTTGTTCCCTGTGCAGCTTTAGATTCATGGCTTCACTCTTCATGGGTTTACCGGGTTATTGCACTTCATTTCTCTTTCTTAAAATCCCTCATCTTTCTTCACTTCTGCTCAGACAAAATGCCATCCTCCATTACACATCATTTGCACGTATTTATGGACCAATTTCATGTGTTTCCTATTTCTTTCAACTGTGCAGCTGTCCTTGTTTTTCTCCCTGAGAATTAACATCCCCCTAATTGTAGCATTTTTATTCCTTGTTCCACATTCTCTTCACTTCACACATAACTTTGTGACCTTTGGAAGCCCCAAAGCTGGTACATAATCCTCAGAGCAATCTCAGTAGATTCATGATGTTTCTTTGCTCAGTGGAATAATAGAATTTTGTACAAGTACCCAAACCATGCTGTTCATTTTTTTTTTCCCCTGGCCACACTCGTAATATAATATAAACTTCTTTCTAATCTGCTATTCTTGTTTACCCCTTGGTGCCTTTTATCATTATTAGTTCCCTATTTCCCCCAGTCCCTTGGGCACGGTGAATGTCTCAGTTGAATGAGTGAGAATTTTTTACATTGAGTTTTACACAACTGTATCTCTCCTGTGTTTCCAAGCTTAATTTATATATATTTTTGTATTATTTTATCTTTGCTTACTGGCATTTGCAACATCTCTCAGATTAGAGACATCCTGAAATCTCATTAATTCGCTGATCACTCTTTCTCCCAGGTCTTTATTAAGATATCAAGATTTAACACATTAGCACTCCACCAGTCACTTCAGTTTGACACAAGTCTTTGAGGCAAGATGAGAAAGGACCCTGTAGGTATGTCTGTCAGTTCTATTAATACTCTACCTTGCACGTCATCTGGATCTGCTAATTTATGTGTGCTCCTTAGACTTTTCTAGCTCTTCCTGCACTTCTACTTTTATGTCAGATCTTTGAATAAATTTACCACCATTTATTAATTGTTCGTATTTAGAGTCTTTCAATATTAAAGATAGGTCCCTTCCCATTTCCATCAACTGTTGTAGAAGGTGGGGGATTTGCCAATATTATTGAGTTCTTACTAGGTGTTAATATGTTAATATTATTTTGTTCAATGGCCAGCACCCCCACATAAGGTTTTTTTTTTTTTTTTTTTTTTTTGAGACAGAGTCTCGCTTTGTTGCCCAGGCTAGAGTGAGTGCCGTGGCGTCAGCCTAGCTCACAGCAACCTCAAACTCCTGGGCTCGAGTGATCCTTCTGCCTCAGCCTCCCGGGTAGCTGGGACTACAGGCATGCGCCACCATGCCCGGCTAATTTTTTATATATATATATCAGTTGGCCAATTAATTTCTTTCTATTTATAGTAGAGACGGGGTCTCGCTCTTGCTCAGGCTGGTTTTGAACTCCTGACCTTGAGCAATCCGCCCGCCTCGGCCTCCCAAGAGCTAGGATTACAGGCGTGAGCCACAGCGCCCGGCCCCACATAAGGTTTTATAACCTCCGTTTTGTAGGTTTTGAAGCTGTGGTACAAAGAGGTTAAGTGACTTCTTGGCCCAGCTGGGTTTGGGATGCAGGTCTAGGCAGCATCCACTGCACCGACTGACTCTGGAGGGTCCATCCATCAGCCAGGCAGCAGCACTGCTCTGTGTTGCTCCTGTTGGCTTGTTGCCAGTGGTTTTGGTTTACCTGGTGACAGCCGAGAGAACGCATCCAGTGAGGAAAGCAGTCAGCACACCACTGAGGATGAAGCAACCACAGAGTACTGGTGGAAGAATTTCAGGGGTCTAAAAGTGAGGTCTAAAAGAATGGTCTAAAAAGCACTGGTATGGCCACCTCCTCCCATTGTGACCTCCCTTTGTGACCTCATACCATTCCTCTATGAAGTATACCATGCAAACTTCTGACTGTGCCTGACTCTGTATCAGCCATAGGAAACTTTTCATCTGCTGAGAACATTACTGCCTTGGGGGCATGACATTCTTCTTTTAAAGATCATGGTTCTCCTTTCCCACTGCTGTCTCTGGTGGGACATGAATTTGTATAAACTTAAAATATTACACGGGGTGGTCATGGTGACATGCACCTGTAGTCCCAGCTACTCGGGAGGCTGAGGCAGAAGGATTGCTTGAGCCCAGAAGTTTGAGGTTGCTGTGAGCTAGGCTGACGCCATGGCACTCTAGCCTGGCCAGAGAGTGAGACTCTGTCTCAAAAAAACAAAAACGAAAAACCAAAAAACAAAACAAAACCATCTAAAAAAGAAACAAATATATTGCACAGGACATACTTACGTTAAAAAATTGTTTGTTCTTTGTTTATCTGAAATTCAAACTTAATTGGGAAGCCAGTTGAATTTTACTTGACAATCCTTGACCAAGGGAAGATACCTTAACTCAAGGAGTATCAGCTTTGTTGGGAGGGCAGAATCAGCTGTTAAGACGTGCAGCAGTACTAGGCAGTTAATAATAAGGGCCAGATCATGCCATGAACAATGAGCTCAAACATGTAAAACTATAGTTGGACTTGAAGAGTCCATAGGACTCCAGTAGGCAGTGATAAAGTGAGTATGGGAAGGGGAGTGAAATTCAGGTGGGTGAAGGGACCTAAGCAAAGATATGGGGGTGTGGGAGCTCATTGTCAGGGGACAGCGAGTAGACCTGGGTAGGAGAGTATTGTGTGGCTAAATTGAAGGGGAAGCCAATTTTGAACTCTGTTTTGTTGTCAGTGTGGAGCCATCAACATTTTTTTACCATGGAGAAGAAACACCATGTTTTTGGAAGATCATCATTTCCCATAAGAGGAACTGAGCATAGAGAAAGGTTAAGTTATTTGCCCAATGCCACGTCTGTCATTTAAGAGACAGGAGAAAGGCCGGGTGGATATAGTCAACTTGAAGCCACTAAGAATTATACAGATGATCCTCAACTTACAATAGTGTTATGTCCTGATAAACCCATTGCAAGTTGAAAACACCATACGTTGAAAATGCATTTAATACACCTAAGCTACCAAACATCATAGTTTAGCTGAGCCTATCTTAAATGGGCTCAGAACACTTACATTAGCCATTTAACACAAAGCTTATTTTATAATACAGTTTTGAATGTCTTGTGTAATCTATTGAATACTGTATTGAAAGCATATCACTTTCATACCATCATAAAGTCAAAAAATCATAAGTCAAATCATCGTAAGTTAGGGACCATCTGTATAAAAACATGGCTTTAGGGCTCATTTTTTTCTTTGTGTGCTTTTTCTACATTGCATAGAAACTGCATAAGTGGCAGAGATATACAGTTGACAGCCTTTACCCTAAATGAACTGCTTTCTTGGCCTCATGCGATGATATCTGGTGTTTAGGAAACATAAAATTCAGTGTCTGCTGAAGGTGTTTTTCCCTATGTGCTGGGACGGCAGTGAGGAAATACAGGTTCACGTACCTTATGCTGGTCCAACCACTGGGATAATCCTGGAGGGCCACAGCCACCTTCACTGTTGCAACAGTCAGGCTTAGTTTAATCTACTAAGTTGCTTTCATGGCCAGCACAGACCTTCCCCTTGCCTGTCCTGTCTCTCTTTTTTTAAAGGAACGTCAGTGCAATAAAAATGTAGCCTCTTTAGAAGGCTACGTTAAATGCTGCCAACTTTAGAATCGTTTGCAGTCTGTGAATTTTCTAGTGATTATGCTATTTCTGCATGATGATGAGGGCAACATTTTCAAGGAAGTGCCATTCTGTGTGGATAGTCTAGTGCTTTGATGCTATCCTTACGTATAGGCAAACCCCAAAATCATGTGTCAAATTAACATCAGGAAAACACGAGCAAATCTCCAGCCTTGTAATTTTCTGGGTGACTGCAATTGCTTTTACATGAGTGTTTATAATTTTGCGTTTCAACCGCAGGCCTATATTTTCTTCTTTGTGCATTAACTAATAAATTTCTGTTTTCTACATGTGCTAGGGTAGAATATCACCTATCACTGATTTAGGCATGAGATTAGGATGAGAATGGATGTTCAGCTAAATGACTTTCAAGGTCCCTTCCCTTTATGAGAATCTGTTATTCTCCTTCCTTGGTGACTCAAAATAAAATTGTATGCTGATTTCCCACAGTACTAAAAAATTGTCGCTGATAGAAATAGGGCTTACAAATATTGACTGCTTACACATCCTACCTTTTGTTTAGATTTAACAGAGTGATATATTACTATACAGGACTGAAATTTGTCTTTGGATAACAATGATTTACTTGCATAGCAGTCGTCAATTTAATTGCATAGCAGTCGTCTATATAATGTTGGCCAGGAAAAAAATGCAAACGATTTTCCATGCTTTATGCTACGAAAGCAATGAATTGGTCTGAAACATAATAGCCTCAAAAGACTGGAAAAAGAATGAGTTGTACAATACAGGCACCATTTAGGGTAAGATATGATAGAGAAATTATTCTCAAACACTAAGTGATGGTCCTCATGATTCTGAATTGGCTAGGAAGCTTTTAAAAAATATAGGTTGCTAGATTCCACCTGGGAAATTTGGGGAATGACATTAGAATTCTCTCTTTCCTCAGGGGAAGCTGGGCTCTGACCTTCCACCTGCCTAACAAGAGCCGAGCACTCCTCTGCTGTCTGTCTGTGACCAGGCATGTGGGCTGGGGTTACCCTGGGAGACAACCATTTCTCAGAGTTCCAGATGTGATTTTGGGCAACTGCCCCCTTCTCCCACCCTTCAATTCCTTTAGTTTATATAGCACCTCTCCCTCACTGTGCCAACCACCTGCATATCACACCCTGCTTCTCCTGATGTCTTTTCTCTTCTCCCCATGCGTTAGTAAAATCAATGAATCCAGCCATTGAGGACTTCTCCCACGCCACACCTTCCTCCTGACCCCTCCTGAATAAGCGAGCCTGAAGGCAGCAGTCGAGACCCCAAAGAGAATCAGCTTACCAATGGATGATGCCAAATTGAGAGCATTCCTTTAATGTTATGTGTATTTGAATAACTTTATAAATTGGTAGAATAGTATACCATTTCATTTTATTGTTTGAAGAACAGATTGTTTACATTGTTGGCAGATTGACATCAGTAAGTAAAGATTTTTTTGCCCTTAGTGTGGACCTTCCCTGAACCACAAAATACAGTGCTCCCATCATGCACTCTGTTTCCAAAGGAAGAGACTATTACTTGCCCAGTCTAACTTACTTTAACTTATGAAGGCATGGGAAGGTTTATGTTGACTTGTTTGTTTTTCTTTTGGTGAAAGTTTCACTCCATCCTTAGTAATTGCTTTTGGAAAAGACACTTAACAGAGAAGAAAACTGCTGCACCTGAAGATTGATTATACCTTTTTCTTCCATTTCTCTGTCCTTATCAATTTTATATGACATTTGTGAAAGTCAATACATTGTTCATTTTTTATAACTGCATGAAGAAAAGCTCAGTTATGAGAATCTTTAAAAAAAAAAAGAGAGACTCTCCACCCCCAATCACTATCAAATATAAATCTATCACTGATATTTTCTAATATGTACATGTATATTTTAAAAGTCTTTTTTACTTTGAATGTACAGCTATTTTTGAAAATGTAGAAATTGAAAAAAGGTTTAGGAAGAAAATAAAAACCATTTGCAATCTCACCATCCAGAAATAACCATTATTAATATATTTTTTGCAGTTGCTGATAAATTATATGCTACTATGTGCATAGAATATATATTCTTTCTTTTTTTTTGGACACAAGTGGTAGCATATTCACACAATTCTGCATTTATTTTAATTTACCAGTGTATCTTGTAGTCACTCTATATTAGTAGGTGTAAAGCTACTTCATTCTTTTTAGAGGTTGTGCATTATTCCATTCTATTAAAGTCCCTTAATGTATTTAACCAGTCTTCTATTGATGCCTATTTGAGTTATCTTAAGTGTGTTGTTATTAAAAATGTGGCAATCAATATCTCTGAACCTATATAATTTTATCCAAATGAGAGTGCATCTGTAGGATAAAGTTCTAGAAGTAGAATGCAGAGTCAGAAACTGTACGTGGAGCTCTCCAATGGGGAGTAGCAATGAATACTTCCATCAGCAATGTGTCAAAGTTCCCACTTTCCCATACACCTCACACTTTCAAACCCTTTGGAGCTTGTCATTCTAAGAGAGGATCCTTGTTCTATATCATTTAATTTGCATTCTCATTATGAAAGAGTTTTAACATCTTTTCCTATGTTCAAGAACTATTTTAGATTCCTTTTCTCTATATTCAGTCTTCATATCACTTAGCCATTTTTCTGTATTTTCTATCATCTTTTTAAAATTTATTGTTAGGCACCCTTTAAAAGAGTAAAGAAATTAGCTCTTTGACATTCATAGACTTGCAAGCTTTCCCCCCTAGTTTTCACGAATGTTTTTATTGTTGTTAATTAGGTCCTCCTCCAACCACTATGCCTGTATTTCTAAAGTTTTTATGTCATCAAATTTATTGGTATTTTCTTGTGTGGATTTTAGATTTTGTATTTTTTGTTGAAATACCTTCTTCCCTCTAATATTACATATAATAACTTCCATTTGTCTTTTATGTTTCCCTTTTTGTTTTATTTTAATTTTATTTTGCCTAAAATTGGAAGCATTGGTGGAAGAGTTTTATTTTGAGATGTCTACCTGTTAGACTATAGTATATATATTAAAAAATCCATAACTTCCATTTGTATTTGATGTTTCCCTTTTTGTTTTATTTTAATTTTATTTTACCTAAAATTGGAAGCATTGGTGGAAGAGTTTTATTTTGAGACGTCTACCTGTTAGAC